CTTGACACACCACAATGTGTCACCGCGTGACAAATGTGCGGACGGACTGTCTGTTGAACATGTTCTCGTGTCGTGCTGACGCCATGAGCCGAGAGCAAGTGAAACCCCAACCACCCCCGCAGGCGGTGGTACCGCCGTTTCGCCACCGCATAAGTTGTTGCACTTTCTACCACACACCGTTTTGTGTGTTGACGTATTCCATGAAGTTAATGCACCGGGCATTTTTCTCAGCGGCATTAATCACAACACTCCTACAAACACAGCATATTTTGTCTCTACACGGGCAGAACGTCGTGCAAAGATTGTCGAGATGTGTATTAAATTGCATAGTGCCATTTACAGCTTGGTCATGGTGTTTAACCCCCGCTACTACGAGCATGATCTTAACGTCGGTGTCTGAGGCGAGTTTAAGAGTTAAACCTCACCAGGAAGCGTACAGCCACCTCTCCAGAATCACTCTACGGATCACTATGTAGCTTTGAGAGCTGTGTTCGGAACACTTCCTCCAACCGACCTGAGTAATCCAAGCCCCTGTCACGTCAGGTCATAATGTCATGACCTCGCTGCCAGGGATCCGCGGCACAAATGTGGGATGTCCGCGCCCCATATGCTGTTATGAGACGCGACGCATCACATCTTGTCATCTAATGGTTCTCGAGGCGTGGATGTGCTATATGTTGTAGGTTATCGATGTCCCCGACCTCTGCAAAGGTTATTTGGATGCAATCGTTGGCTCTGATCATAAGGTTGACATCAATTTAGCCCGGGACGGTAAATGATTGGGCGCGTCAAAGGTGAAGCCATGGTCACTAAGGTCACGGCAGGAAAACCTTAAAATCGCCCAAACAAATATTTCCGAGGCTTGTGCAGTTCACTAATATCGCCGTGATGCAAGCGGTTTGTTAAGGTCAGCATTGTTATTAGGGTGTTTTGTCAAAAGTGATGTATACTGGGAGGTTGCTCGAAGAACTTAAAGCTTGGCGGTTTCAAGCCATTTCCGCCCATGGGAGACAGCAAGGCTCTATAAAAATGACAGCGGTTTAACGTTATAAAATTGCAGCGGTTTGGACGCCTTAAACAAAGTCCTAAGTGCCTTCTTACCAAGCTGATTCGCTGTTTTTTGACCATAACATCGAGCAGGTGCGTCACTTGACCGAAGACGAGCGTGATTTTGGAGAGAACAGGGAAGGCAGCAGCGCTTAAAAATAAACATATTTTAAGCTACGTCCAGATGGGTGTTAAACTAATCCTCAAAATGAGAATGGCTCGGTGCTGCGTATACAGTACGATGTGAGCACATTTGATCTGTATTTAACCCAACCTTTCATTTAACCCAATCACAAAACACCTGTGCAGCAACATTCGAAATGTTGTCACCGCTCAAACTTCCCAAAGACGGGCAGCCGTCGTTGCCCTCCCACTGATTGACTTGACTTCTTACAATGTACAGCGCCAAAAATGGGGTTTCAAACTGAATCGGCCACATTGAACATCAGTCGGCGCAGCTAACGGTCCTACCTTTTTTCAAGAGCAACGCCCTTCAACTTCCAAGTTCCAAATCTTACCGAATATGGTCGTATAACACGGTTGCGGCGGGTCATGCCCTGGAGTGGTGCGTCGCCATACATGCTGAGGTGGCGCGTCATGGCCTTGGACGGCGCGTCGCCGTGCAGACTGAGGTGAAGGGTCACGGTCCGAGACGGTGGGTCACCGTGCAGACTGATCTGAAGGGTCACGGTCCGAGACGGTGGGTCGCCGTGCAGACTGAGGTGAAGGGTCACGGTCCGAGACGGTGGGTCGCCGTGCAGACTGAGGTGAAGGGTCACGGTCCGAGACGGTGGGTCGCCGTGCAGACTGAGGTGAAGGGTCACGGTCCGAGACGGTGGGTCGCCGTGCAGACTGAGGTGAAGGGTCACGGTCCGAGACGGTGGGTCGCCTTGCAGGCACGCAAACCACCTAGGAATGGAGGATGGTGGCGTCAGCCAGTCGCCGCGGATTGCATTGTGCGTATGAGTTATAAGGGATCATAGTCATGAGGAGAGAAGGGTCATCTGTTTGGTGCTGCTCGGGCGCGCAGCGTGAGCTTGCCTGGCGTTGTTGTGGGCCTCGGTCCACCGTTGTTTCGGGGGTGGCCATGGCCGGGCAAAAATTATTTTAATCACTTAATTCAGGCACCTGAAATAGCTCGGCCTGACAAGCTGATCCAACATTTAAGTTTTATTTTCTGTTTGCATTTTTCTTGCTGGGGTTACAGTAATGTGAAATGAGATTTTCACGTAATGCTTTGTTCCCGTCGAGATTAACATCCGAGTCAATGGTGCAGAGTTCGTCGGCATCCTACGATTTCCCCCACTTTCAGATTAGCTACAGCCGGATGTTTGAGACATAAGTTCCCATAAAGTAGACAAACTGGTTCTCACCCATGACGTGAAGGCGAAATATCTCACCAAAAATCAAATCTTACCAAATATGGTCGTACTACACCTTAAACAACCCTGTAAAACAAGGGCATTCCAAAGCCCGGTTTCGTTTTTTTTATTGCATTTTTGAATGCTAAGATACCGTGATGTAGAATCCTTTTTTCATCCCATGGTTTATTTTCCCTAGCGATCAACATGGGAGTCAATGGGACTGATGCCATCCGTCACTACTATTTCCCTGATTTTCACATTAATTGTTGCTGGACATCTGATACCACAGCTCCCATGAAAGATAGACCAGAGAAAGCAGCCCTTTATCCAAAAACTGACGGTGATATTTTCTAACCTAAGATAGCATGTCACCGAATATGGTCGTGATGCGCCTCGACCGACGCGGCTTGGCAAGTGATACCCAAACTGGGCTGCATTTTCTACGTGCACGTTTTGCTCCAGTGCCATGACAATGTGGAATCAGTATCTCAACTAATACCTTGTTTTACCCTAGATGTTGGCATGGGAGTTGATGGGACTGATTTCATTTGCCCTCACGATTCGCCTGATTTTCAGACTGATGGTACCGGGGCGTCCCGTAGGTCGAGGTGATTCCAAACTTAAAAAACAGTTACAAATAGCGATGCATTGCTTTTTACGTCTTTGTATCATGTGCTGGATGAACGATAACTGTTATCTCAACCTTGGCCTTTTAGCCTATTTCGGCACCGCCCATGTGTCTGGCGCGTGGTATTACTGCCGTTATTGTCAGCCTGACACGCGGCGATGTAATCACTACCCGTGTGTCGCAGTAACGATCGACTCGGCTGCCACGAGCGCCGTGCAGAAATTCTGCTGGAATGTTCATGAGGAGACTTTCAGGTTCGGCGCCGCATCATAGTGATGGAAATCAAAATAAAAACGGGATATTGATCGAGTAACAGCGACGCGACTCCATGCCTGTGTGCTCAGGTATAACGAGCACAGCAATACTGCGTAGCATAAGCTGCGGCACAAGTATCAGAACGATCTCGTCATGGGAAAGCGTCCAGACCTCAACTAACATGCACTCTAGTGAAGTGTC